AGACTGGGGATTGAATCCTGGCTCTGCCACCAACTAGCACTGTCCTGGGCAAGGCTGTAACCTCTCTGAGCCTGTTGTAGGTCTGCTGGTAATAGCCGTCTCCCTTGGGGTTTTTAGGAAATTAAATTAGAGACTCCTGAGAACTCTTCAGCTAAGCACCTGTCACATAGAAAATGTCCAGTAAAGGAGAGCTGCTGCTCTTATTGTTATTTGCTATTGTTAGGGAGGTCAGCAAGCAAGGGCCCTGAAATCTCACCTAGAATCTTCTAAAGTGAACTGAAAAAGGCCAACCAAATGGGAGGGAATTCTTCAAATAGAAACCCCACCTCCCAGCTCCAGGGTCAGCCAATCAGAGCATCCCACCTTCCAGCTACAGTGATTGGCTCACAGTTGGGCACATGACTCAAGCTGAGCCAGTGAGGGACAACTCTGGGACTCTAGCTGCTGCTCCTAGGAAATCAGTCGCTAAGCCTAGGCACTGTGGTCTGGTTCCAGAAAGAGAAACCTGTCAGAAGAAAGCCTACCTGGGAAGCAGAGCAGAAGGATGGTTCCTGACATGGTGTGAGTGCCTGGATCTCACTGTGCCTGAATCCTATCCCAGGACTTCTCAGTGTCCTCATTGTGGACATTTTGGACTGGATCACTTTTTTTTTTTTTTTTTTTTTTGAGATGGAGTCTGGCTCTGTCGCCCAGGCTAGAGTGCAGTGGCACGATCTCAGCTCACTGCAACCTCCGCCTCCAGGGTTCAAGAGATTTTCCTGCCTCAGCCTCCCAAGTAGCTGGAATTACAGGCATGCACCATCATGCCTGGCTAATTTTTGTATTTTTACTAGAGATGGGGTTTCAGCATGTTGGTCAGGCTGGTCTTGAACTCCTGACCTCAGGTGATCCGCCTGCCTCAACCTCCCAAAGTGCTGGGATTACAGTCGTGAGTCACCATGCCCAGCCTGGATCACTCTTTGTGGGGGACTATCCTGTGCCTGGTAGGATGTTTAACTGCATCCCTGGCCTCTACCCACTAGAGGCCAGTAGCAACTGACTTCTCCAGATGTGGCAACCTAACCTATCTCCAGACATCGCCAATGTCCATGGGGAGGAAAATCACCCAGAATTAGATATGGGGGCTCTACCCCACCAACCCTCTAAATGCCTGCAGGCCAACTTGATTTGATTTATGTCCCTTGCCATCCCTGTCCCCCTCCTTCCTCAGAAGCAAGGTTTATCCTCCCCACTGGCTGATCACCTTCCAGGTCCAGCTTGACCATGCCAGCGTCGTCTTCCAACTCATTGGTGACTTCGCACTCATAGCGCCCGTAGTCTTGCAGCGTGACATTGCGGAGGACCAGGGAAGCATCCCCAGGCCCGTCGCCCTGCAGCTCAGCCCGCCCACGGTAGCTGCCGAATGCCCGGTGCTGGGGGCCTAGTGCCACGAAGACGTCGGTGAAGGCCAGCGGGTCCACCACCTTTGTCCACTTGAGCCGGACGCCGTCGTGACCGTGGGCGGCTGCCTCATAGTGGTACCGGCAGGGCAAGACGATGGTGCCACCCCGGTGGCTTACCACCTGCCCGGGCGCTGTCTGTACCACTACCGAGCCCGACTCACCCTCTGCGGACAACCAAGCAGGGTTCAGAGAAGGGGCCTAGGGGCAGAAGGGGGGCCCTGGGGAAGGGGTCTCTGGGGAGGGGAAGGTGGGAAGACTCGGGCGGGGGTCGGGGAATCAGAAGGGTCCAGGGGCTCAGGGAGAGGGCGAGGGGCTTAGATGGGGAGTGGTTGGGGGAACCGTGGACGTCAGGAACGCCCTACCCCCTACACCTCTCCGCACTTGGCCTCTTCTGCTTTTCGCGGAGAAGACCACTTTTAGCGGCCCGGACTCACCCAGCACGTGCACGACCTTCTTCCGGCCACGCTGCGCCCCCGCGGGGGCTGTGAGCAGCAGGACGCCCCAGGCCGCTGCCCAGAGCGCTCCGGGACCGAGGGCCGCCCGAGCGCACACCTGGGGGACGGGCACAGGGCTCAGTCCAGCCCCCAGCCTTGGCCTTTCGGAGGCCTGGCTCCCTCCCGGGCCTGCCTTCCCCACAGCGAGGACCTCGCACACGCCCATGCCCCCACCCTTTCCGGGGTCCCGCATAACTCCCCCTCCTCCTCCTGGGACCTCACATCCTCGCTCCTGCAAGAACCCACGCCCCTAGACTCCCCCCTCCCTTGGCCCCAGATCCCCAGATCCCGCCTCATCACCCCCGCCCCAAAACCCGAGGCTCGCTGCCCCCGCCCCCTTCTGGCCCTGGCCCGGGCCGGGGATGGGGGGGGTGGGGAAGAGCTGGAGGAGCGGCGGCAGCAAGGTTATCCGTGCGCCAGGAGACTGCAGCAAACCCGGCCGGGGCGGGCAGGGAGGGGGGAGAGCTGGAGAGACACAGGGAGAGACGCGGGGAGAGAACAGGGACAGAGAGAAAGGCAGGGAGAGGCAGAGAAGAGAGTGCGCGACACAGAAAAAGGGTAAGGGAAGACGGAGAGGCAGAGATGGAGAGGGAGAGACAGATGTAGAGGGAGAGACAGAGAGGCAGAGGGAGAGACAGAGAGGCAGAGGGAGAGACAGAGAGGCAGAGGGAGAGACAGAGGGGCAGGGGAAGAGACAGAGATGGAGAGGGCAAGACAGAGATGGAAAGGGAGAGACAGAGGAAGAGACAGAGATGGAAAGGGAGAGACAGAGAGGAAGAGACAGAGAAGCAGAGGGAGAGAGGCAGAGGAAGAGACAGGAGAGGGAGAGACAGAGATGGAGAGGGAGAGACAGAAAGGGAGAGGGAGAGACAGAGAGACAGAGGGAGAGACAGAGAGGCAGAGGGAGAGACAGAGAGACAGAGGGAGAGACAGAGAGACAGAGGGAGAGACAGAGAGGCAGAGGGAGAGACAGAGAGGCAGAGGGAGAGACAGAGAGGCAGAGGGAGAGACAGAGAGGCAGAGGGAGAGACAGAGAGGCAGAGGGAGAGACAGAGAGGCAGAGGGAGAGACAGAGGGGCAGAGGGAGAGACAGAGGGGCAGAGGGAGAGACAGAGGGGCAGAGGGAGAGACAGAGAGGCAGAGGGAGAGGGAGAGACCGGAGAGTGCCAGAGGCCGAGAGAATTAGAGAAGAGGAGGAAGAGATAGGGGCAGGTAAAGAGAGAAACGGAGAGAAGAGGAAAAAGGCAGAGAGGGTGACAGAGATGGAGAGAAGCAGGGAGAGATGGAGACGGAGAGAACCGAGAGTGCCAAAAAGAGAGATCAAAGAGGGTGAGAGACGGAGAAAAGGAGGAGACAGAAGAAACTCGGAGAGATATAGATTCAGAGACAGAGACATACAGAATCCCAGACTGGGGAGACGGGGCACGCACCATCCGCGCCCACAGCCGCACTTACCATCTTGCCCGCGCGGCCCTCGCCGAGCGGCCCCTACGCACCCGGACTGCGCTCACGGCACACCCGGTTAGGACTGGGCAGGTCCCTGCAGGCGGCGCAATCCCGGCGTCTGCCTGCAAGGGGAGGAGGAAGGCGAGCAAGGCGGGGTGTGTTAAAGGGGCCGCGGCAGCCCACGCTCCCCTGGAGAGGTGGCTGGAGCGCGGGCGGAGAAAGAAGCGCTCTGGGCTTGGAGTGCAGAGCTAGTTCCCTCGCCCTGCTAGCTGAACTTAGGCCAGGGAAAAATCTCTCTGAGCCTCAGTTTAACCGTCTTTGAAATGGAGGAGGGGGCTGAGTCTTCTATCATGGTTACTGTGCTTTGGCAGGGGACCTGGGGGATCTGGTGAAAGAGATCACTTGACCTGCAGCCCTCAGTTTACCCATCTGTCCATTGGGTAGTCATAGTGGAGTCCTGGTCTCCAGTACCCCAAAGGTGCTCACTGTGCAGGGTGGGGGCCTCACGATAATCACACTCTGCTGTGACCTGGAGCCACAGGCCCCAATCCAAGTCTGCCCCTCACTGGCTGTGGGACCTTGATGGAGACAGTTGGCCTCTCTGAGCCTGTTGCCGACTCTTTGGTGAAGATCCAATAGCCAGACATACCGTAGATCTCCGGCAAGAAAAGGGACATCTAGGCCGGACATGGTGGCTCATGCCTGTAATCCCAGCACTTTGGGAGGTCAAGGCAGGAGGATCACCTGAGGTCAGGAGTTCAAGGCCAACCTGACCAACATGGAGAAACTATGTCTCTACTAAAAATATAAAATTAGCCAGGCGTGGTGACACATGCCTGTAATCCCAGCTACTCAGGGGGCTGAGGCAGGAGAATTGCTTGAACCCAGGAGGTGGAGGTTGCAGTGAGCCGAGATCGTGCCATTGCATATCAGCCTGGGTAACAAGAGCGAAAACTCCAACTCAAAAAAAAAAAAAAAAAAAAAAAGAAAAGAAAATGGGACATCTAGTCAAGTCCCTGATTTACTCCAGGCCCAAGTCACCCCTAAACATGGCCTTTCACCCAACTTCAAAAATCAAACACTAGGAAACATTGAGTCTTTCTCCCAACACCTTGGCTTCCTTCCAGGACTCAGTTTCCCCTAAAATGAGCCCAACTCGACCAGATAGCAGAGGCAGGGTTGAGGTTTCTGTGGTCCAACACGCTGGGGCTCCGTCTCAGCTCAGCCATGCCTTGGGGACTGAGGAGGGTAATGGTCTCAGACCAGGACCTTCACCTGCAGCCTTGGTTTCCCCATCTGGAATAAGCAGTGAGATCCAGCATGTAGCAGTCAAGGTATACAGTAGGTGCTTAATAAACATATCATGCTATTGGTTATGATTTATTGGTAGAGCAGGAACTTTTCTCTCTGGCTGTGACCTTGGGCAGGTCTCTTGTCCATACTGAGCCTCGGTTTTCCCATCTGGAAGATGGAGCCATGCATACCAACCAGAGGCCGCCTTCTGCCATCCCAGCACCTCTTGCTCCTGGCAACCACGATGGCAGTGATGGATGGGCCCTCATGGGGGCCAAGAAGAGGGTCCCTCGTCCCTGCACCCTGAAACACTTAGGCAGTGATATTTTGGAAATTGAAAGGGTTTTTACTAAAAGGATCCACGGGGGGATGATGGGTAAATTCTGGAAGGGGTGGAAGCGTCGTGTCGGGGTTGAAGCATGGTGACAGCTGTGAGAGGCGCTCCTTGCAGGAACACTTGGTTGTTGGTCTCCATCCCACCCACTGGACTGAAACCACCATAGCCAGGACTAATGACACCTGGAGATGTCCCTCCTGTCTCTAAAACACCCGACCCCCGCTTCCCCAGGTAGGGCTGGCTGGGCGCGTAAACAGAGTCCTGGGTCCTAAGTCCATAGCCCTCTCAATGCTGCTTCTTGTGGAGGGCTATGGGGCTGGAGGGTGGCGGCTGGTGGAAGAATGCAGGCCACTGAAGGCAACGGTAGGCCAGCAGGTGGGGGCCCAGTGCATACAGCAGATTGCACACGAAGAAGCAGCCCCAGGTGTCCTCAGGCACACGGTAGGTGAAGGGTGTGCGCAGGTGCATGGAAGCCCCCATGTGCGAGAACTGTGCCTGGTAGCCAAACAGGAAAGATGGATGTCAGGGGCCAGGAAGGAACCGAAATCCCAGCACCACCGACGGCCCACCAGGTAGGTCAGGCAGAACCCAGGGGATGCCCATCCTCAACTCTTGGGCTCTGCTCATCTACCTGTTTCCCATCTCCAGTCCATCTATCTGTCTTTCTCTATTTTTTTTTTTTTTTTTTTTTTTTGGAGACACAGTCTCACTCTCTTGCCCATGCTGGAGTGCACTGGTGCAATCTCCATTCACTGCAACCCCTGCTGCCTCCTGGGTTCAAGCGATTCTCATGCTTCAACCTCCTCTGAGTAGCTGGTACTACAGGCGTGCACCTCTACGCCCAGTTAATTTTTTGTATTTTTTTTTTTTTTTTTGAGACGGAGTCTCGCTCTGTCGCCCAGGCTGGAGTGCAGTGGCGCGATCTCGGCTCACTGCAAGCTCCGCCTCCCGGGTTCACGCCATTCTCCTGCCTCAGCCTCCCGAGTAGCTGGGACTACAGGCGCCCACAACCGCGCCCGGCTAATTTTTTGTATTTTTAGTAGAGACGGGGTTTCACCGTGGTCTCGATCTCCTGACCTTGTGATCCGCCCGCCTCGGCCTCCCAAAGTGCTGGGATTACAGGCGTGAGCCACCGCGCCCGGCAATTTTTTGTATTTTTTAATAGAGATAGGGTTTCGCCATGTTGCCCAAGCTGGTCTCAAACTCCTGAGGTCAGGCGATCCATCCACCTTGGCCTCCCAAAGTGCCAGCTAGGATTACAGGCGTGAGCCACCATGCCTGGCTTATTTTTAAAATTTCTATCTAATTATCTATCTATCTATCTATCTATCTATCTATCTATCTATCTATCTAGAGATAGGGTCTTGCTGTGTTGGCCAGGCTGGAGTGCAGTGGCACGACCATGACTCACTGCAGCCTCAACCTCCTGGGCTCAAGCAATCCTCCCATCCCAGCCTCCCGAGTAGCTAAGACAGCAGGCACGTGCTACCATGCCCAGCTAATTTTTGTACTTTTTGTAAAGACAGGTTTTGCCATGTTGCCTAGGCTGGTCTCAGACTCCTGGGCTCAAGTAGCCCTCCCACCTCGGCCTCCCAAAGTGCTGGGATTACACGTGTGAGCCACCTCGCCCGGCCTTCTGTCTGTAAAGATTCCTACCCTTATGTGTCCTCTCTGTCCCCCCCTCCCCCATACTCGTCCACTTGTCTGTGAGTCCCTCCCCACTTGCCTAACCCCATCTCCTGGGCCCTGCACCCCATCTCTCTCTGACCTGGTTCCAGATCCTCCTCCCAGTCTTCCCCATCCCAGAGGTCTTGGCACAAATCCTGTGGATTCTAGACGTTTTCCTGGTCCCTACTTCCCTGGCCGGGGCCCAAGCTTTAGCACTTTTCATCAGGAACCCAGAAAAAGGCTCCTAGCTCTGACTGGGTCCCCACTGCTCAAACACCTCCTCAAATTCCCCATCACCCTCAGTACAAGCCCCCAGTCCCAGAGTTCAAAGCCTTCAGCATCTAGCTGCCAATTTCTCTTATCTCTGCCTTTACCCATGTTACGGCCCTGCTAAATCACTGTCTCCCTCTGTGCTTCTCCTTATGCTGTTCCCATTCCTGGTATGCCCTTCCCTGCCTGGAGAACTCATCCCCGTACATCAAAGCCCAGCTCCTATGACCCCTGCTTCTAGATAACCTTTCCCTTCTGGAATCCTTCACAGCCCCTGTCCCTCTTTTCATGGGGCTTGGAGTGTCTGTATCTGACTTTGTCTCCCCTAGACTAGGGAATCCTGGGATACCGGGCCTGGGGCTGGGGTCTCTTGGGGGCCCATCATTACAGTGCCCAGGGAAGACACCAAAGTCGTTGATGAGTAGACAGAAATTCCCTCCCACAAGTCTGCTCAACCACCCACCTGCCACCTCACCTGGCCGATGGCTCCAGCAAACACCAAGGCCCAGTCTGGCAGCCAGGAACAACCAGGGAAGGTGAGAGCATAGGCAGCCAGGCCGCAGAAAGGCAGGACATAAAACATGTACATCAGCATCTGCAGGGGAGGGAGGAGAGGGGCACCAGCCTGTGAGATGAGCAGCTACCCCAGGTGGGTCTCCTGAGACCCCCGAGGTGGAGGCTCTGAGGAAGGATCTGGATGGCCTCAGACCCCATCCAGGCTCTCTGCAAAGTGCTCCCCTATTTCCCTTTCAGATCCTTGCCACCACCCGCCAAACACATACACCAAACCTACCAACCTTTCTCTGGAAGCAGCATGCGACTCTGGCCTGGCCAGTCGGAGCATTCCAGCCCCCTGTCCATGATGCTCAGTAAGGGATGGGCAAGTGATTCAGGCTGGGTCAATCTGAGCCTGCCTAAGACTTGTGCTTAAGCTCAGGGGTAATAAGGGCTCACAATGCTCTGGGGTGGCTGAGTGGGGTGCATGGAAGCCTGGAGCTGCCACAGGCTTTCTCTGCTACCCCATGAAGGGACTGCCTGAGAGCAGAGCCATGCAAAGAAAGCAGAGCCCAGAGGCCGGGCACGGTGGCTCACGCCTGTAATCCCAGCACTTTGGGAGGCCGAGGTGGGTGGATCACTTGAGGTCAGGAGTTCGAGACCAGCCTGACCAACATGGTGAAACCCCGTATCTACTAAAAATACAAAATTAGCCGAGTGTGGTGGCGCACGCCTGTAATCCCAGCTACTTAGGAGGCTGAGGCAGGAGAATCACTTGAGCCCAGGAGGTGGAGGTTGCAGTGATCTGAGATCACGCCATTGCAATCCAGCCTAGGTGACAAGAGCAAAACTCTGTCTCAAAAACAAAACAAAACAAAACAACACAAACAAAAAACAAAACAAAAAAAAAAAAAAGAAGAAAAGAAAAGAAGAGCCCAGAATCTGCACCTCGAGCACCTGGATCCAGTCATACCTGAAGACCACATCTGTCCTTTTTTTGGTAGGACAGTAAATTCCATATGACCTTCTGCCTGCTTGAGTTGTGCTTCTGGCACCTGCTTCAAAGAGGCCCAGAGGACCCCTACCCAAGGCAGGGGTATGGTCTTCTCCCCACTCCCCTCTCACCTGCACCTTAGGATAGGCCACAGGGTCCCGCAGGTATGGCTCATACTGGTAGATATAGACAAAGCAGGAATCTGTGGGGCAGTCAAGCACCACCTGGAGCAGACAGACATACCAAGAACCCTCAGACATCCCTCCCACAGGAAACTTCCCCCACCCTTCCAGGTCCACACCCCTTGCTCTGGCCTCTCCCAGCCCAGCTCAAATTGGGCTGGGAGAAATGGGGCTTTGTCATGGAACACTCAGGTTAGACTTGATGAAGAACTTCCTTGGATGATCAAACAGGAAGAAGGGCAGCGTGGGAGAGGTGGGTCAGGGAAGGGAGACCGGAGGCAGAGGGGATGGAGAGACTAACTAGTGTGGACTCACCAGGCCCCGGAACAGAGTGAAGAAGCCAGCAAGGATGAGGTATGTGACAAGGGCCAGGTCAGCCGGACGCTGCAGGAGTCCCTTTCTTTGTTCCTCCTGCACCTGCCCCAGGGGAGAGAAACAGAGCATGAGAGGTAGTCAATGAGAGGTATTCAGTAGGTATTCAAAAGGTATATAAAGGCTCCTAAGGCTCCTCTCTTTCTTTTCTTCCTTTCTTTCTTTTCTTTCTTTCTTTCCTTCCTTCTTTTTTTTTTTTTTTTTTTTTTTCTGAGACGACAGGCTCTCTTTCTGTTGCCCAGGCTTGAGTGAAGTGGCACAATCTCAGCTCACTGCAGCCTCAATCTCCCGGGCTCAAGTGATCCTCCTACCTCAGCCTCCCAAGTAGCTAGGACCACAGGCATGCACCACCACATCTGGCTAATTTTTTAACTTTTTGTAGAGTCAGGGTCTGGCTGTGTTGCCCAGGCTGGTCTCCAACTCTTGAGCTCAAGTGATCCTCAAGCCTTGGCCTCCCAAAATGTTGGGATTACAGGCATGAGCCATCACACCCAGCCCTTGCTTCTTCCTTATGACAAAGGAGATCCTTCCACGGAAACTAAGTCTTTGACCAAAAGCAACTCACACGGGGAAAGTTCAGGCATGCTGGGACAAAGCCTAAGAGGGGCAAGGCACTCACCGTGTTGGCGGTGCAGCAGGTTGGCGCCCGGGGCTGGCTGAAGACCCTCACGCCAGCCCAGCATGGCACCAGCAGGTAGGGGATGGTGAGGAAGAAGGCAGGCCTGATCTCGGAGCTGTATTTGCCTGCCATGGTGCAGGAGAGAGGGCGTCAGCCATGCCAGAACCCTGCTGGATGTCTGTTTGTTTGTTTGTTCTGAGACAGAGTCTTGCTCTGTCACCCAGGCTGGAGTGCAGTGGCGCAATCTTGGCTCATTGCAACCTCCGCCTCCCAGGTTCAAGCAATTCTCCTGTCTCAGCCTCCTAAGTAGCTGGGATTACAGGCACACACCATTATGCCTGGCTAATTTTTGTATTTTTAGTATAGGCAGGGTTTCACCATGCTGCCCAGGCTGGTCTTGATCTCCTTGGCTTAAGTGATTAATGAGTCAGGCGGATCGCTTGAGCCAAGGAGTTTGAGACCAGCCTGAGCAACATAAGGATTACAGGTGTGAGCCAGCGCACCCGGTCTCTCTGGCTGGACATCTCGATTCAGAAATACCACCTCGGCTGGGCGCGGTGGCTCACGCCTGTAATCCCAGCACTTTGGGAGGCTGAGGCGGGCGGATCACGAGGTCAGGAGATCGAGACTATCCTGGCTAACACAGTGAAACCCCGTCTCTACTAAAAATGCAAAACAAAAATTAGCCGGGCGAGGAGAATGGCGTGAACCCAGGAGGCGGAGCTTGCAGTGAGCCGAGATGGCGCCACTGCACTCCAGCCTGGGTGACTGAGCAAGACTCCGTCTCAAAAAAAAAAAAAAAAAAAAAAAGAAATACCATCCTCATTCAAGCTCCACCACCCTCCATGGCTCCCTAGTGCCCACAGGATGATGTCCATGCTCCTCAGCCTAGCCTGCCTCAATTTACCTTCTGAATATGGATCCTACCTTCCAGTGGGTTCTCTGCTTTCTATGAATACACCTTGGGTGTTCCCTCTGCTGAGGTTTTGCCATGCCAGCCTCCCGGATTGCCTTCACTGCTCTACCTCCCAAGCCCTACTCCTGAAGCTTTCACCCTGTCCCCAGGATTCATCCTAAAATTCCCTTCCTGTGTCAAGAGCATTCTGGGTCAAACCCCCGGTGCTGGGAACCATTGCCTGGGGAGGAAGCAGAGTTTGGGTTCCCCCACCTTTCAAGAGGAAATGGGGACCAGAAAGGGGTGGGCTGCTGACTGAGGCTGCGGACACGCAAAGAGGGAGGTGGGGCCTCTGCAGACATCAGGGAAGGGGTGGAGGATCCAATGGGGTTGCTTCTAGATGCAGGGCAGGGACCTAGCCCAAGAGAGACCAGATTTCCCGAAGCCTTGTCCTTACCAAGAATGTTTCCTGTAAGGAACACCAGGATGCTCATGGCGAAGGAACCCAGCCAGTACAGTCCAAAGTTCCGGTATCTCTTCCTGGGCAGGGGATGGAGGGGTGACCAGCAGGTAGTCACTCCATAATCTCAGAGCCCCAGCCAGGGCCCAGAGACCACCGTGGGCTTCCCAGCTCTGGGTGCCTTTCAGTTTTGCCCAGGATGGAAGGGACAACAGGGAGTTGAACAGGGGAATGAACAGTGAGACCCTCTGTCCAAGAAAAGAAGTGACCGCCCAGACACAGGGTGGATATAAGCAATGCCACGCCACCATCTACACCTGAAACGTTTCCTGGAACCTTCTCCCGGCCACCCCTGGCTGGAGTCCTAGAGGAGCATCCTGATTTCTCCTACAGACACTTCTGGCTCCACCCTGCCCTGGGGCCCCATCTGAGGATGAAACTTCTCTCCCAGGGTCAGGGGTCACCCTCTCCCTGGCTCCTGCACCTTCTGCAGATGGCGCCGGCCATGGCCAGGTAGAGGAGGTAGTGAACGGTGCCATCCCAGTAGCAAATGAAGACTCCATGTGCTGTGCGCAGGTATGGCTCTCCCTGTGGGGGCAGGAGGGAGGCTCAGACGGGCAGTGGGGCAGGGGGATCCCTGGCTGTCCCCCAAGTACCTCCTTGGTGTAGAAATCCATGAAGCCCACCACATAGCCGTCTTCCTGAAGAGCGATGATGAGGTCCACAACCGAGGTGAAGGCGAAGACGGCGAAGACTGCAGTGAGTAGGCGGCTGGGTCAGGTGTGGGAGGGGACACACATGGGTGGGGCTAGGGCTCAGTGTGGGGAGGGCTTGAAGTTAAGGTCAGGGATGAGATTATTTCAGGCAAGGACTCCAGGCCCAGTCCCCGTCCCAACCCCAAAGGTTGCATGACCACTGTCCCGCCTCATTCTGCATGTCTGATGGAGGAGACCCAGCCTGGCCCTCAGAAGTCCCTGGTTTGATTGGGAGGCCCAGTGCCTGCCTTTGGGAGTCCCCGCCCTCAGGAGATCTCAAAGTGATGAGGCAGTACACTCTTTTTCAGGAGCTTCCAATCTGATGGGGGAGACGCAGTCCCTATTCTCAGGAGCCCCAGGTCTCAAGGGGGAGGCTCTTTGAAGTTCCCCAGTTTAATGGGAGTGTTCAGATCTCTTTGAGGTCTCCAGTCTGATGGGAGCTCTTAAAGGGCCCCCAGTCTGATGGAGGAGGACCTTCGATGGCCCCTAAGTCTGAGGGTGGAGGCCCTTGCCTGGACAGTCTTCTTCCCCACAGCTTCCCACTGACTCACCAGCATAGAGTGGGTCATAGGAGATTTCGCCATGGGACAAGCTGTAGACTGCCACGAAGAGCAGACCCAGGATTAGGGCGCTCATCAATGCCACCCACAGGGGGCTGTGGAGAGGGAGACCAAGTCAGGGACGCCAGGCCCAGTGCTGAGGCATTGCCCCACTCTCCCTGGTAGGGGAAGAGGCAGACTCCTGGAAGCCCCAGGGGAAGAGGCTAAAGTATCTGTTCATCCATCAATGCTGTTCCCTGAAACTGCTCTCATCCTGTGCCAGGCCCTTGCCCAGGCTGTTTCTTCCTTCTGGAAACTGCTTCCAGAAGCCTTTTCCACTTGGCAAACTTCTACTCATCCTTCACGGCCCATCCACATTGTTCTTCCTCCATGAAGCCCTCCCTGACTCCCCAGAAAGGATCACTGTTTAACTTGAGCCAGCTACAGAGGGGACATTCATCAGCCCCTTCTTTTCTTTCTTTCTTTTTTTTTTTTTTTTTTTGAGATGGAGCTCTGACACGCAGGCTGGAGTGAAGTGGTGTGATCTCAGCTCACTGCAACCTCTGCCTCCTGGGTTCAAGCGATTCTCCTGCCTCAGCCTCCCAAGTAGCTGGGATTACTGGTGTCCACTACCACGCCCTGCTAATTTTTATATTTTTAGTAGAGACAGGGTTTTACCATGTTGGCCAGGCTGGTCTCGAACTCCTGACGTCAGGTGATTTGCCCATCTCGGCCTCCCAAAATGCTAGGATTACAGGCGTGAGCCACCACGCCTGGTCTGCCGCTTCTGACTTTACCATTTATCCCATCATTTGTTATGTGTTTAACTCAGTCTGTTCAGTCATTCGGCAACGTCAAGTCCCTCTGTGGCCAGGCCCAGCTCCCAAGCCACACGGTCTCGAGTGCTCAGTTCTGTAGACTTCACTGTCTGACACTCCCAGCTCCTCCCAGCTAAAGTCCAAATGCCTCTATTAACTCCACCTTACCCCTGCCCTGATCTGCCCCCCCAACCTGATAAGACAGGTCGACCAGTTGCATAGATAACAGAAGCCAGGTCTCTGGGCAGTGCTCAACCCAGGTGGGCAAATCCAGGCCTAGAGAGGATGGGATTACTGTCCAGTTGTCCAGGGTCACACAGCAAGACTCTGTCCATCACTCTCCAGGCCCCTGTTTTCTCACGATCCCCTCAGAACCCAAGATCTCCATCCTGACCCCATCTAACGATGACATTATAGTACTCAGATGAGACCAGGACAAATCTTTGTACACAGTTTGTAATCCTGAACCGTAACTATGAGATGAGATCTAGGATTGTGCCCATGACACTAATCAGGGAACTGAGGCTTACCCAGGATCCCAGGAGATGGAGATGGGTATTCCCACCCAGGGAGCAGGCCCATGGTTAAGACTCTCTCCACCCCATGGCTTGGGTTGAGCTGGGTTTAGAAGTGCGAGGGGCTTGCAGATGCCCGCTATCCGGTGGCTGGACCCACAGGGCTAGGATCTAGGGTTAGGAGACAGGGACCAGGAACAGGAACCAGTAGGGGAAACTGAGTCTAGGCACAGGGTTAGCCAGTCCTGAACAAGGGGAAAGTCACAGGCCTGAGACAGGCAATGGAGCAGGGTGTGTGTGTCAACAGGAGCCAGGTACCCGGGGCCTTATCTGGGACAATCCTTTTTTTTTTTTTTTTTTTTTTTTTTTGAGACGGAGTCTGGCTCTGTCGCCCGGGCTAGAGTGCAGTGGCTGGATCTCAGCTCACTGCAAGCTCCGCCCCCCGGGTTTACGCCATTCTCCTGCCTCAGCCTCCCGAGTAGCTAGGACTACAGGCGCCCGCCGCCTCGCCCGGCTAGTTTTTTGTATTTTTTAGTAGAGACGGGGTTTCACCGTGTTCGCCAGGATGGTCTCGATCTCCTGACCTAGTGATCCGCCCGTCTCGGCCTCCCAAAGTGCTGGAATTACAGGCTTGAGCCACCGCGCCCGGCCTGGGACAATACTTTTACCCTTGGCGACTTTGGAGCCTGCGCAGGGCCCATCCCTGGGAAAACCCCAGAAACCCTCGAAAGCTCTGGCTTGTGGGGACTCTCCTCATCATTCCTTCTCCCCAGGCCCCAAACATCCCAGGAGCGGCCACACCCCAGCCTCCAGCACGGCGGAAAGGGGACTTCCGGTTAGATGGGGGCGTTCTTCTGGCCCAGGCCCAATCCTGCCGGGTCGGAGCTGAGCTGGGGCGCAGGGCTCGCAGGAGCCAGGTCCGCGGACCGCGCATCCTCCCTCCAGCCCACCTCCGGTCCTCCCAGCCCCTGCCCGCCCCCACTGTCCCCTAAGGCCGCCCCAGCCCCTCCCCGCACGCACTGCGAGAGCGCCGAGACGTGGTTGAGCGCGTAGGACACCGGGAGGGCGCTCAGCGACAGCGCCGCGATCTTGCCGGCCAGCGGCGGGATGTCCATAGCGGCGGCGGCTGGACCCCGGCTCAGGCCTCTCCAGGGCGCTCGGCTCCTCGTTGGCAGCGCGTCCCGGCCGGGGCTGCCAGGGACCCGCCCCGCACAAAGGTCGCCCCCCGCTGCGCCCTGGGCAGGCGGCCGTGACCCGCCCTGCGTGTTCCCAGGGAGCCTCCAAGGCCCCTCCCCGGTCCTCCCCCTGGCAGCTGCCCCGCCCCTTCGCCCCTCACCATCGACACCCGTCCCGCTGCTCAGCCTCAGTTTCCCTTTCTGTCAAAGGCTGGGACACAACACCTCGGGATGTTTCTGCTCTTAGGCCAAGGGGTACGCCCTGGAGGTCCTGGCATGCCCGCTCTTTCCCCTGCCCCACAACTTCGTTCTAAGGAAATTCGTTCTCCTGGACTCTGCCCTTCTAAACCCCTGCATTCCCCACCCAAAGATCAAGTGGGCATTGCCTGTGCGCGCTGATAGAGCAACATCCAGCTCTTGGGCGCAAAATGCCTTTCGGTGGGCTTAGATTTGAGTTTTCACACAGTGGCCACCACAAATGTAAACGTGTTTCCAGGCAGGTGTGAAGTTTTTTTTTTTTTTGAGAGGAGGTCTCACTCTGTCGCCCAGACTGGAGTGCAGTGGCCTGCCTTGAACTCCCAGCCTCAAGTGGTCCTCCCACCTCAGCTTCCCAAGTAGCTGGGGCTACAGGTATGCACCACCACGTGCAGCTAATTATTTTTTGTAAAGACAGGGGTCTCGCTTTGTTGCCTAGGCTGGTTTCAAACTCCTGTGCTCAAGAGATCCTCCCACCTCAGCCTCCCAAAGAGCTGCGATTATAGGCGTGAGCCACCGCGAGGGGTCTTTTAGTGTGAGGCTTTGACTCCGGGGCTGTCCCTTTGCAGGCTAGTCCCGGGTTGAGGGTTCTTCATGTGGGGGAGAGGGTAGAAGGAAGGGGTTCTAGGGGGTGGGGGCTGAAGTTAGAATATCGAGATGGAGCCAGTTTGGTGAAGAGTTTGGGAAGGGTGTTCCTGGCAGGGAGGAAAATGGCTTAGGCTTGGAAATGAGCAGCGGAAAGGAGGTCGGTTCTGCTGGGGTGTGATGAGAAGCGAGACAGCTGTGAGAGGCTGTGGGAGGTTTTGAACAGCTGGGAGGGGGCCGCAGTGTTGTCGGGGAGAATAAGGAGGAGACCATCTGTCTTTGTCACCCCTCCAACCACCCTCTGGCCCATGTGGAGTACTTGTGGATGCTGCAGACAGCAAGGTGAACCATGCCCACCTGACACCTGCCCCACGGGAGCCCAGCCTGCAGCTGGCACAAATTCTAACCCCTACCCCTACCTCAGGCTCCTTCTGCATGCAGCCCCTTAGCATGATGCCAACTGGGTCACAGGTCTTTCTCAACTGGGCAACAAGAGAGTCTTCTGGCCACAAGTCTGACTCAGCCTCCTTCCCCAGGTGCCCACTGCCCATGGGTGAAGTTCAGTTTCCCCTGGACTTTCCCCAACTTTAGCACAGTCAACACCCCCCAGGCCTGCTTTCTGTCTGCAAAATGAGCCTTCTTGTAAGCGTGTCCCAGCATCCCCTCCTCCAGGCAGCCCTGCCTGCCACCCCCACCCCATCTTCTCCACACAGGGCCAGGGTGTCTGTGCCTGGCTCAGCCTAGGGGCCTGGCCTTGTCCCGTGTACAGGATGCACCTGCACACGCACATAGCATTTGGAGGCCTCATCCCCTGCCAGGGGGTAAAGTCCATGTCCTGAGCCTGGTGAGCCTCCATGTCGCTGAGAACTGAGAAGTGACTTGGACAGCTGAATGCCTGGGACCAAGCCCCAGGATTCTCCGTCTCCTGAACCACTGGCTGCAGAGAGCTACCCTGCTGTGCTCAGGGTCCTGGCCCACTGCCTTCTGGGCAGGCCCCATGTATGGGCACCCAGGCCAAGCCCACCAATGTTACTCCTTGCTCTGCCTCAGCCACAGCGTCAGGAGGGGACAAAGGGTGGCATGTCACCCCAGCCTTGGTTCTGCCACTGCCCCTGGCACCTCCCTGGTCTCAGACCCCACTGAGACACTCTGCAGGCCGCCCCACCACAGCTCCCTCTCAGTAGCAGCCTCAGACCTCGTCCCCAGCAGCCTGGCTGACTGGGGCAGATCTTGTCCACCTGGTCCCCACACAAACACAGCAAAAACCCAGTGTTTGCTGAATGGCTGTGTGAACACAGGCTGGCCCAGGAGCCCGACTCCACACCAAGCATGTGAATAGGGAGCCCCTGGTGCCTGCAGGGGCTGGGCAGCACCCACTGGGTGTGTGTGGGGAGATGGGGGGGAGGCAGATGGAAATGCAGATTCTCAGGGCCCTGCCCAACCAGCTGACTCAGCACCTGCAGCTTAACAAGATCCCAGGGTGACTCAGGCACAAATGTGGGGCTCTGGCCCTGGGGCAGATGTGGGGGTCTTGGCACACACGGTGGCCCAGGGGGCTACCCTCCTGCCTCCAAAACTCTGGCTCTGAGGCCCTTCCTTTCAGGAGCTGTCTGACATGTTGGCATGGCACATCCATCCACATGGCTGTCCTCTAATGACACAAGCCCCAGGGACTCGTGTGCCTACAACACTGGTGGGACCTGAAGGGCCACAGCCATCACCTGTGTGCTGGGCCCTGCCAGCACCATCTGCCAGGAGAGCACACAGATGTACCCAGAAGCCACCTGCCCCTGCAGGTCTGAGGGAAGGGGGGGCCCTGCCTGGAGACCCCTCCCCAACCTCCCCTTGCAGCACAGTGCTAGGCTGGGAAGTTCCTGACATTCCTTTAGCCCAGGAGTGGCCAGGTCTCCAGCTTTTTTATTATTATTATTATTAGAGACAGTCTTGCTCTCTCGCCCAGGCTGGAGTGCAGTGGTGCAATCTCGGCTCACTGCAACTGCCTCCCAGGTTCAAGCAATTCTCCTGCCTCAGCTTCCCGAGTAGCTGAGACTACAGGTGTGCACCACCATGCCCAGCTAATTTTGTATTTTTAGTAGAGACAGGGTTTCACCATGTTGACCAGGCGGGTCTCGAACTCCTGACCTCCGGTGATCCGCCCACCTTGGCCTCCCAAAGTGCTGGGATTACAGGCGTGTGACACCGCACCTGGCCTTCCAACTTTATTATGCTGAGAACAGCTTTCTTCCTTCCTCCCTTCCAGTGCAACCCAAGCTGAGCAGGGATGGAGACTCCACAGGCCAAGAAGGAAAGCCCCGAGACAGCATCTTGTACTCTGTGCCCAGCCTTGTCCCGCTGCTAACAGGAGGTGCTTCCTGCAACAGGACCAGGCATCTGCAGTGGATGAGCACTGGGACTTTATTACACGGCACGGCACTCGTGACAACGGGAGGGGTGGGCAGAAATGCAGGCCGGAACATTCCACAGTCCAGGGACGGTTGGTCATTCAGAAAGTACGTATTTCCAGAACACTCAGTAGTAAGGCCGTCTAGGGTTATTCTGCAGAAGGCAAAACAGGAGGAGGGGATTAGCGCTAAAGACAGCAATTCCAGCCGGGCGCGGTGGCTCAAGCCTGTAATCCCAGCACTTTGGGAGGCCGAGACGGGCGGATCATGAGGTCAGGAGATCGAGACCATCCTGGCTAACACGGTGAAACCCCCTCTCTACTAAAAAATACAAAAAATTAGCCGGGCGAGGTGGCGGGCGCCTGTAGTCCCAGTTACTCGGGAGGCTGAGGCAGGAGAATGGCGTAAACCCGGGAGGCGGAGCTTGCATTGAGCTGAGATCTGGCCACTGCACTCCAGCCTGGGCAACAGAGCCAGACTCCGTCTCAAAAAAAAAAAAAAAAAAAAAAAAGACAGCAATTCCTCCTGTCCGGAACCTTCCGGGGGCAGCTGAGCTCGCACCCTTGAGGTGGCAGGGCAGGCTTGGGGGATAGGTGGGGGCTTGAATGCAGGGGTTGGTAGGGGGCTTGCTGGTGAGACCCGGCCTGGCTGGACTGGGGAAGGAAGGGAACCTTCTGTTCCTACCACCACCCTCTCCTGTCAACTGAGCAAAGGCAGCCCGGCCAGGCATGCGCACCAGGGGGTTGGGCCGGAAGCGGTAGGCCAGCATCATCCTCTTGCGGAAGGCCTCGTACTCATCGTCCTCCTTGGAAAGCTCGGCCGGGCGGTCAATGCCGAAGCCGGCACCGTCCACTGTGGTGGTGCCCCTACAGGGAGGAGATGATGTGAGCAGGGGGCTGGGCCAGTGTCAGTTAGAAGGGGCCTGGGGCCGGAACTCTGGGCAGGGGGACCGAGCACAGCTGGGCTCTCGGCAGCCTCCCGGGGCACAGGGCTGGGCTGGGACGTATCTGCACAGAGAGAAGCCTGAACCTGAATGGTGAAGGAGGGGGAGACCCGGCAGGGGGCCCAGGCCCCAGGGTCCAACACAGGAAGGAGGAGCCCACAGTGGAGGCCGTCGTAGCTCTTGGGATATTAGGATGGTTACTCAAGAACAGCCTCGAAGGGGGCACTCGGGGCCAGGGTCACACCTGGGAGAGCTCCTGCCCATCTCTGGGACTGGTTTCGCACTCATGGGGAATTCAAACGAGGCCCTTCACAAGGCAGACAGGGCCTGACCCATCTGTACTCACACCCACCCCACCTGGCCTGGAGATACCCAAGAGGGAACAGAAGGAGGCCCTGGGACTGGGGAGGACCCGGCCCATACAGCCTACTGCACTGCAGGTTTGTGCCTGACAAGGGGTGTGCAGTGGGGTGCTGTGATCATTTTGCCACAAGGGAAAAGTGATGACATAAAGGGGTGGGAATGGGGAGGTGGTGGGGGAGCCATGGACCCCGAGTTCATGGCCACGCCCTCCAACAGGGCCACACTCACTTGTTCACCGGGTTCTTGATGCCCTGGCCTTCCGAACCCAGCCCCTCGCCCTCTTTCCAGCCCATCTTCATCAGCATCTGGTAGCCAATGTTCTCCACAGTCAGCTTGAACTCCTTGTACTCCGAGTAGTCAGGCTCACGGCCCTCCTACAAGGTGAAGAGGCAGCTGTCACCTAACAGGGCTGGGGCTGTGGTGGCCCCCAAATCCAACCTTCTGCCTTTGGTTTCAATCAGTGCTGGGACCAGTGGCCCATCTGCCTCCCTCTCACCAGATCAGACTTGTTGATAACAGACCAAGCTCCTCCTGCTTCTCAGGGTCCCCTGGGCCTTAGTGCCACACTGTGCACCAAGCTCCCTGGTGGCCAAGTCAAAAGGGCAAGAGAAAGATTTACACAGGCCTTATCCACCTAAGATAAAGCAATGGTTCATTGGCAAAGAGAAGCCCTGTGTTCATGTCCTGAGAGCAATTTGTTGTACAAGGTCCTAATAAAAGATGGACAGCGAGGTTACCACCTCGCTGATGAGGCTATCAGGCCCTGAACAGTTTTATAAAAAACCTCAAAAAGATAATGGGGGATGTGCCGTGTCAGCCCTCTCCCATCAGGAGCCCAACAGCAGCAGAGGCAGAATGTTAAGCTCTGGTTCTGAAGAGGCCAGTCCGTGGGGACTTTTGCCGGAGAAACACTTTGCCTGTAAACTGCACTTAATTGGCTCCACTGGAAGCAGAATTTACCCCACAGCCACAGGAAATGTTTCTGAGGCGGCAGCTGAGCTGCTGTTTGCTAATTCCCTACACAGACGGCGCCTGTCATTAACAGATGCCTCCCGCAGCGAGAGAGCCTGGCTCCCGCTGTGATCGAGGGTAGCTAGGCTACTTTGGGCGCCTGCAGGGTGAAGCGGCTATAGGAGGGACTCGCACGTAGCAGAGGCTGGAGCCGGGGGCCCCTCCTGGCTCACCTTCAGGGCCTTGAAGGTCTCCATAAACTTCTCCAGCTCGTCTGGAGGCAGGAAGTCTCCGATGAAGTGCTTGCCCCGGCCCATCTTTGTCAGTTGCTCGGCCCATTCTGCTCAGAGAAGCAGAAAGGTGAGAAGAGGGAGAAGCAGGAAGGAGGGGAGTGGGCCTGGTGGCTTCCAGGCAAAGGTATGAGACTCAGTGGGAGCCGGGGAAGGAGGCGGCTGGGCCATGACCCCAGCCCGAGCCTCGGCCAGGCAGCCCAGCATTCAGTGAATCCTGTGCGGCTCTCCACCCTAACGATGACAGGATCGCTCCTTTCACCACCGAGAAAACTAGGACCCAGAAAGACTGAGCCTCTCACTCCAGGCCTCATAGCCACAGGGGGCAGGCTGGGGGCTGAACCAGGACGGCAGCTCAAGACCACGTGGGACACCTCCAGGTAACCTTCCAGGGCAGGTGAGGGGGGCCACATCCAGCCCAGCCCGCCCCGCTGCGCCACGCACCCCTGGTCTTGTCCATCTCCATGCGCCGCAGCTGGTGCTCCCAGGTGCCCAGCTCGCTGTCCACCTCCTCATCGCTGTCGTAGCCGTGCTGGTGCTGCTGCACTGCCTTTTCCCACAGCAGCTGCATGTCCTGCATGGCCCGCTTGTGCTGCATGATCATGTCGTACATCTGCTGCATCTGCAGGGCACACTCACCAGTGAGCCAGGGCACTGTGCAGTGGCCTGCCGGAGCCCCGCCCCTGCTCCCCACCTCCAGTGCAGGGCGTGCCCCCACCGGAACCTGGCTCATCTGGACCCCCTGGGCAGGGCTGGAGCGAGGATTCAGGCAAGTACTGAGTACCGCCCTGGGTTCTCTAAATCCCGGTGTGGAGCACGGAGGACCTCTTGGCCACTGAATGAGGGTGACCCAGGGCCCTGACCCCTGGAAGAGTCAAGGGTGATGTGACGGGGCTGTGGGCCTGGAGAAGGGGTCAGAGTGAACTGACCCCAGGCACTGACAGGCAGGTGCCTGCAGCTCCTCAGGAGAGCCAACGTCGACACTGCCAATGCCAACCGGGCGGCCTCAAGTCCCTCAGGGTGCCCTGTGCTGACCAGGACAGTCTTGCGCTAGACACAAGAGGACTGTGGACAGAGAACATCAATGGAGACTATCCCATAGGGACCAGTCCTGGAGCGCAGCAAGAAGCAGTCACAAAGCTGAGGCCAGGGATCACAGACCACTGGGGCTGCCCCAAGGGTCAACAGTCTCCCAGGCAGCCTGAGAGGCCATTCAAATGCAGTGGGGGTGGCATGCCACCTACTGGGGCAGGGGGACGTGCCTGCCTGGCAGCCTCCCCACTGGCTATGGGTTCCACCTAAACGCAGGAGCTTGGCAAGCACATGAACCCCTGTGACCACTGCACCTGAGGGTAGAGGATGACACTCTTTGGGGACCGACCATGCCTGTCCCCTTGTCCCCACAGTCAGTCTTACCTCCTGCTGCTCCTTCAGCTGCTTCTTCTGGGCATCCGACAGCTCTGTGACACCCACTAGACCCACAGGCTTCCCCTTCTCATAGCCAAGCCCCTTGAGGTCCTGAACTGGAAACCAAAGACACAGGGCAGTCAGTGTCTGACAGGTGTACCCTGATCTCGCTCTCACACTGGAGTGTGCTGTGAGTCTCACGCCTTCAGGACACTCCAGGCACACAGGGCCCTCACATCACGACTATCAGTGCCACACGGTACGTGAGAGCCTTGGGGCCGTGCTGTGCGCTGCTATGTGCACCCCCGCATCTTATGTCCTTGTGACCTCTCCAGCCAGGCTCTACGCATCACCGCATTACAGATGTGGACACCAGGAATCAGAGGTTCGGGGACTCACACAGCTAATGAGTGACAGGGCAGGAATCTGCAGAGCTGGAGACAAAAGAGCTGAGACGGAGTGTGGGCAGCATGCATGGACGCACTCACAAGCCAGCTCTCAGAAGGCAGCCCTGTTGCTAACAGACACCAGGTGTAAGCGCGCACAGATTCAGAGTCTGGCGTAAGACTCAGCTGTGCGACTCCCTTAGCTCCTTCAGGGGAGGCAGCCAACCATCCTCAGAGCAGCTGACATTTAATTTGGCATTAGCTGTGGAACCTGGCAGGCGCCAGTAACACTGATAGAAAGATGCTGCAACGGCCCCATCCGGGCGACAGAAACCACCATCCCTCGGGCGGTACGGTGCTTCCGGGGGGAGAAGGTGAACAGAGGGGTGTAGCAGGTCCTCTGGGAAGGGAAAAGACTTGGGTCCTTCCAGCTCATCAACACTCGGGCTTTGTCACTAAGAATAGCCCACATTTGCACTCTTAGTCCTTCCTCAGTTTACGAGGCACTGAGGGACGTGGGGGAGCCCTGTGGGGGAGCTGAAGTCTGAGCATCTGATTGAGTGCCTTAGAGCAGGCCCGAAGTCCCTTTCCCCCAGGTCCACTCCACCACTTGAGTGGGTGGCTGAGGTCTACCACACTCCCTGAGGACATGGATCAGTGGGACTTGAACCTGGGCCTCAGACTTTGGAGCCTGTTCTGTCTAGCTAGGCCACAGGGCAGCTTCTTCACCCGCTGGGTGTCTCAGAGCTGGGGTGTGTGCGCATTGAAGCACCTGGATCTAAGCACTAGGGTTTGGCACTTGAGTGACAAACCAATCCTAGGTACCCTCCACCCTGGCTGGAGTTGCTGGCTATAGCCCTGGTAAGCATAAGAATCTTCATTCAGTAGCTTTTCTCCTTGACCTAGAATCTCTGAGGCCCTTGGGGCCAGGGAGGCACTGAGCAAGCAACCATCCCTGAGTTGGACAAGCAGGTCCAAGAGGCTGGCCACCTGACCTGGGAAGGCTGCCTTCCCTCTTGGGGTCCTGTCCTCATCTTGCAAACACAGGTGATGGTGCCACACAACAGGGCACGTCAGACTCCTCCATGCACCTGTGTGTCGAGCGCTGGTGAAGCTGGAGTGAGGGGGTGTTTCTGCTCACAGTGCAGGCTGCACAGCTGCACAGTGGGGCACCATACGACATGAGATAGTGGCTGTCAGTCACTGTAATCTGCAAAATGCAATGACAAGAGACCACCCCCCAATCCTTGTAGGTTTGGTAAGAAAATGAGAGACCAGGCCATACGCTGGCCCTCCCTGAAATTACGAAATTGCTGCTAAGAAGGGAGAGGTGAAAAGGTGATTGTGCAAAACTGTGGAAATTATTGTGCTTACCATTATCCATCTCTTGAACTTTTCTTTTTCCCCCCGAGATGGAGTCTTGCTCTGTTGCCCAGGCTAGAGTGCAGTGGCGTGATCTTGGTTCACTGCAACCTCCGCCTCCCAGGATCAAGCATTTCTCCTGCCTCAGCCTCCCGAGTAGCTGGGACTACAGGCATGTGGCACCATACCCAGCTAATTTTTGTATTTTTAGTAGAGACGGAGTTTCACAACATTAGTCAGGCTAGTCTCGAACTCCTGACCTCAGGTGATCCGCCCGCTTCGGCCTCCCAAAGTCCTGGGATTACAGGCGTGAGCCACCATATCTGGCCTCCTGAACTTTCTATGACAAGAAAGAATCCAAGTACTAGCTGGGAATGGTGACTCATGCCTGTAATCCCAGCACTTTTGGAGACTGAGGTGGGAGGATGGCTTGAACCCAGGAGTTTGAGACCAGCCTAGGCAACATAGCAAGACCATCTCTATTTATGTATTAAAAAAAAAAAAAAAAAAAAGCTCACTTCAGACCCAAAAACACAAATTCAGTCAGGAATTACTTCATGAAGGGGACCATTCTGGAAATGCATCATTAGGCGCTGTTGCCAATGTGTGAGCATCATAGATTGTACATCCACAAACCTAGATGCTACCGCCTACTGCACGCCTACACTAGATATTACAGTTGACCTTGAATTATATGGGTTTGAACTACACAGGTCCACTTAATATGCTGATTTTTTTCAATGAATATATTGAAGAAATTTTTGGAGATTTGCAACAATTTGAAAAAAGTCAGATGAACCACATAGCCTAGAAATACTGAAAAAAAATCAAGAAAAAGTTAGGTGTTTCATGAATGTATAAGATATATGTAGATGCTAGTCTGTTTTATCACTTAGTACCATAAAACATATACACATTGCAGAAAGTTAAACTTTATCAAAACTTATGCACACAGACTGTACGTAGTGTGTTTTGCAGTCCAGAGAAATGTAAACAAACGTAAAGTAGCAGTTTAAATCTTTTTTTTTTTTTTTTTTTCCTGAGACGGAGTCTTGCTTTGTCGCCCAGGCTGGAGTGTAGTGGCACAATCTCAGCTCACTGCAACCTCCACCTCCCAGGTTCAAGCAATTCTCCTGCCTCAGCCTACCAAGTAGCTGGGACTACAGGTGCCTGCCACCATGCCCAGCTAGTTTTTTTTTTTTTTGAGACGGAGTCTCACTCTGTCATCCAGGCTGGAGTGCAGTGGTACGATCTCGGCTCACTGCAACCTCCACCTCCTGGGTTCAAGAGATTCTCCTGCCTCAGCCTGTCAAGTAGCTGGGACTATAGGCGCACGCCACCACACCCAGCTGATTTTTGTATTTTTAGTAGAGACAGGTTTTCACGATACTGGCCAGGCTGGTCTCGAACTCCTGACCTCGTGATCCGCCTGCCTCAGCCTCCCAAAGTACTGGGATTACAGGCGTGAGCCACCATGCCCAGCCAACTTTTGTATTTTTTTTTTTTTTTTTTTTGAGACGGAGTCTCGCTCTGTCACCCAGGCTGGAGTGCAGTGGCCGGATCTCAGCTCACTGCAAGCTCCGCCTCCCGGGTTCACGCCATTCTCCTGCCTCAGCCTCCCTAGTAGCTGGGACTACAGGCGCCCTGCCACCTCCCACGGCTCGCCGCGCCTGCCACCTCGCCGGCTAAGTTTTTGTTTTTTTTTTTTTTTTTTTGAGACGGAGTCTCGCTCTGCCGCCCAGGCTGGAGTGCAGTGGCCGGATCTCAGCTCACTGCAAGCTCCGCCTCCCGGGTTCACGCCATTCTCCTGCCTCAGCCTCCGGAGTAGCTGGGACTACAGGCGCCCGCCACCGCGCCCGGCTAGTTTTTTGTATTTTTTAGTAGAGACAGGGTTTCACCGTGTTAGCCAGGATGGTCTCGATCTCCTGACCTCGTGATCCGCCCGTCTCGGCCTCCCAAAGTGCTGGGATTACAGGCTTGAGCCACCGCGCCCGGCCAGTTTTTGTATTTTTAGTAGAGACGGGGTTTCACTGTGTTACCCAGGATGGTCTCGATCTCCTGACCTCGTGATCCGCCTGTCTCGGCCTCCCAAAGTGCTGGGATTACAGGCTTGAGCCACCGCGCCCGGCACTTTTGTATTTTTAGTAGAGGTGGGGTTTCACCATATTGGCCAGGCTGGTCTCGAACTCCAACCTTATGATCTGCCCGCCTCGGCCTCCCAAAGTGCTGGGATTACAGGCGTAAGCCACCGCACCCAGCAGATTAAATCTTAACTGCATAACATTAGCTGTAGTGCACACTGTACTACTGTAATCATTTTGTAATCTCCTGTTGCTATTGTAATGAGCTCAAGTGTTGAGAATATCTGCTTAAAACACCATGTGATGCTAATCATCTCTGCGTGAGCTGTTTGTCCTTTTAGTAAATTGCATATTGCAGTACAGACATCTCTCAGGGTTCTCTATTTTTTGGGTTTAGTGCAATATAGTAAACCTTGAATAACATCATGGGTCCTATAAAAAGTGCCACTAGTCAAGCACCTGTAGTCCCAGCTTCTTGGGAGGCTGAGGGAGAATTGCTTGAACCCGAGAGGAGGTTGCAGTGAGCCTAGAGTATGCCATTGCACTCCAGCCTGGGTGACAGAGCAAGACTCCATCTCCAAAAAAGTGCCACTAGTGATGGCGGAAGTGCTCCCAAGAAGCAGAGAAAACTCAAAACATTACCAGAAACAGTTGAATTATTTGATATGTGCCATAGATTGAGGTCTACAACTGCAGTTGCCCACCATTTCAAGATAAATGAATCCAGCATAAGGACCACTGTAAAAAACAAAACAAAACAAAACAAAAAACAAAAAAACAGAAAAGGAAATTGGTGAAGCTGTTGTTGTAGCTATGTCAGCTTTGTACTTTCTGTGAAGTAACTTTTTATCTCATTTTGAAAATGCAGTTTTTATGTGTACAGGACTGATATCAGAATGACACACCTACAGAATGACACACCTACAGGGTGTGTCATACGATTTAAGAAAAAAGTAGGCCGGGCACGGTGGCTCAAGCCTGTAATCCCAGCACTTTGGGAGGCCGAGACGGGCGGATCACGAGGTCAGGAGATCGAGACCATCCTGGCTAACACAATGAAACCCCGTCTCCACTAAAAATACAAAAAAATTAGCCGGGCGTGGTGGCGGCACCTGTAAGTCCCAGCTACTCGGGAGGCTGAGGCAGGAGAATGGCTGGAACCTGGGAGGCGGAGCTTGCAGTGAGCCGAGATCGCGCCACTGCACTCCAGCCTGGGCGACAGAGCGAGACTCCGCCTCAAAAAAAAAAAAAAAAAGAAAAAAGTAGGCCGGGCACGGTGGCTCAAGC